TTGTGTAAAAGAAATGTATACATGCCAAGTAAATTAATTGTACACTACAAATAAGAACTTTATAAACATGAGTTCAAATTGTTTTCATTAAGTTGGTTCACGTTTCTATTTTCTTTTTTTGGCTCAAGTTTGTAAACAAAATTAAATCAGTCAGTCAGTCAGTTGCAACATAGAACTTCGTACGTATGTACATAAGTTCATGTTGCCATACCACATGAGCACAGAGACGCAAATGTCAAATCAAATCCTATAGTGATAAAGATAGTAGAGGTATTAATGGTAATGAAGAAGAATAGGGTTCGAAGATATTATTCAAGAAGTATAATTAAGTGAGATAAGGTTAGAAAGACAAAGGTAGAGGTGCTGATGAATCCAGAAGATTAGGATTTGAGAGAGCTCAAATACTGGATGCACTTGCGCCATTTAGAACGGGGTTTAAGGAGACCAGGAACGACGTTTCGAGAACTTGCATCGTTTGCATTAGCTGTGCACTGTGATAAATGAATGTCAGAAGCGCTAGTCGTGGAGATAATAGAGGTATTAGGAGGTGTAGGAAGGATTTGATTTTGACCGATCTGGTCTCGTGTGCTGTTACGGGTATGAGGGCGGTTATCACTTCCCAGCTGCCCACACCGTGGAAGGTTGTTTCTTGAGGAACTTCAAAAGGAAGGAAGATTAATGTTGATCTTGGAGACCTGGGAGCGTGACCGCAGAGTCCAAGAGACAACTGCTTGAGGCCGGTCACGTTTTTTTGAGGATTAGCTCCGCTCTTAAAGGCCCTTAGTGAGCACCCTTACCCAAGGAGACGGAAATCCGTGATGTAGGGTGATGTGTGACATTTTTAGGGTCGACATTTTCTGATTCTTCCTTCCTTGTGAAAAGGCAGCATCGCTGCAGATGCTGGCTGTCCGAGTGAAACGCCTTACTGATGTCACACCCCTCTACAGTCAGCAGTGCGATTTCTCACTCAGACTTTGAGTAGCTGCTTTTAGTTTTACAGTTCTCCAATTGACCTGCCTGGCATGGTAGAACCTTCAGGAACATATGTTCTAGCCAATATAGCTCGGTTGCGTCATCACGATGGGCAAGCCCGACCACCACGTCAAGGTAGCAGCTTCGGTCGGGAAACAAAATTAAATGTTCAGTTTAAAATTATGTTAGACATTGAAAGATTTATTTAGAATGTTTAAATAAACATCTATTCTCAATAATTACTGTCTTCAATGAATCTAACAACAATCAAATCGTTTGTACTCTAAAATTGACTCGACTAAGTCCAATCAGGACCAAGAAAGTTCTACTATCATTGTATTTATATTGTTAAGGTCTACCCAAATTTCCTTTCCTTAGATAGGCATTTCATTTTTTTCACAGTTTAAATCCTAAGTTGATCTGAGATAGAATATCATTATGAATATAGAAGCACTAAATAATCTTTTCGCGTACTAGTATTTGACTCTTTTAGAAAAGTCCATCTATGGTCTTGTGTCCGAAAACAAAACGATCATCCTGAGTACCAAGATATTCAGTGATGATTTAATTAAGACTAATTTGCGTTTTAAACTATGAAAGCTCAAGAATTTTTAAAAATCCTTCCAATTAACTGTCTGTAATCGATTGTGAAGATTGCTGAATTCGATCTAAATCACAAACCGATTAATTAATTTATACGTCTTTCTTAAATCTTATGATTTTATGTTCCCTGTTTTATAAATAACCATCACATATCATTTCTATTTTGTATATGTTAGGATATTCATCCAATATCCTGAGATAATTATTTTGTAAGTCTAATTCTATTGGTCAATTCCTATCGGTCATCCTAACTGTCAATGTCACAGACTTCAATGTTGTTTCCTATTCGACCTAAGTGTATAAATACGCATTATCTGTAATGTTTTATGACCAGGATCAGGACACGGATCCTTAATCCGAGATCCTCATTCTCTTCTGGACTTGGACCTCGTAATTTCTGGATGTTTGTAGAATACGGGTTCTACTTCATATCAAGTCTCCTTCTTTAAACTCAATGAGGGTTTAGGACATTCGGATTAGAGTAGCATGTCGTGTCGCCGGATCATCGATCCTCGCTCTCGTTTTCCGACTAGGTAAACTCGTAATTGTTCAAGCTTATCAAACTGACATGTTTACGAGCAACCGTAACAATATATTAGTAATATGATGATGTTAAAAAAATTACAATTCACAATATTTTAATATTTTCTCAATTTACTACTGACATATTTTGTCGGTATCTAAACTGTAATCCGTCTGATATATTCTGAGATACCTTTTTTTGAAATAATGGAATCGAGCAATGTTAGACCACTATTAGAAACCTGGAAGTACTGGATGGCCATCTCGTCCGCGCGCAAGACCGAAGCTCCTGAGTTTGATTCCTGTGAGTCGCGGACGCGCACCGACACTGATGAGTTCCATACCAGGACGAAACACCCGTCCAGTGCTTCCAAGTTTCCTAACAGGAAACTAACATTGGTCGATTCCATGATTTCAAAAAGTAACTCAATAATCTTCACAAACACCCATATAATGCAAAAAATATTCTGAGGTCTATAATACTGACCAGGTCAAATCAAATTGTTTAGAGACAATTTTAATACAAATGCCTTATGTACTATGTTATTGATGTGAAATTCTCAAACAAAACGTATGTAATTATTATGTTAATTTTCAGTGTACTAGATCGTAATTGTATTTATATTCACAGACATTTTGGCGTATTTCCGTTTAGAATGATCCAATCATTATGAAGGGAATTTTATTTGTAATGTATTTTTTTCATTGTACTATCGTAATATCATGGTAGTTTTTGTTTTCAAGTAGTTCAGTCAATCAGTTTGATGAATTCTATACCAATAAATTTTGTTGTTGTGTCCACCAGCAACATTTCTCAAACAATTCCTTTCTGGCTTTTTATTTAGCTTACCAATTATTAACATAGAAGTGTTGTAGTGTGTTTGTCAGTCTGTCTACTCTGGCTCTTGGTTATTGTTACGCATGCACGTAAACATGTCAATTTGATATGCTTGAATTATTACGTGTTTACCTTAGTGGGAAAACGAGAGCGAGGATCGAGGATCCGGTGACACGACATGTTACTCTAATCCGAATGTCTCAAACCCCACTGAATAAAAGAAGACTTGATTTGAAGTAGAACGTCTAGTCTACAAGCATCCAGAATGTACGAGGTCCGAGTTCAGAAGAGAATCAGGATCCCGGACCAGGGATTCGGGTCATAAAAAGGTTACAGATAATGTGTATTTATACAGTTAGGTCGAATAGGAAACAGCATCGAAGTGTGTGACATTGACAGTTAAGTCGATCAATAAGAAACAACTCTGGAGTACATGACATGGATTTCTAGGACGACCATAAAATTAACCAATAGGAATTGACTAATAATTCTCTAAGGATATTGAATGAATATCCTAACAGCAATCTAATATCATATTAATAGAATGTTTGACTTATTCGCAATTGAAAACCACTGTAATTTATTCAAAACAACAACTTCTTGCAGTATGAAACTAAAGATGAAAAGATTGAATAAGGTTGTTTCACATGAGAGATCCTATTTCGAAGAACCAACATGAACTAGGAAGCAAGCTTCGCTGGATACCAGATGAAAAAAGAATTACTTCTTAATCCAACAATGAAGTTATAACATGTAGCCTATCTAACATCTTTTCATCACAATAAGAATTATAAAAGCTGTTCGTTGTATACAAATGACTGATACGATCATTAGATAACTGTCGTATCTTTTGATAAGACTCTTCAGCAGTACTTTTTCATGAGTCATTAAACGGATCGAAACCAAGACTCACTGATTTCATAGAATTTTGAAAAAAGTGAGTCAGTGAATTCATACTCGGTTATCATCTAAAGTTTGGATGTTCATTTCAGCATCTATAGGTCTTGGATTACATTCTTCAAAGTTAATGCATACTTCCGAAGAGTCATCTATTGGAATGAGTGCTGGTTCTAGTGGCATCCTAAGTGATGTCAAACTGTAACTATAACAACCTACCAAAAAAGTTTATTATCAAGAAAGTCCTCGGTCAAAATATAAGCATAAACACACATAAAAGTCTCTACTAATCCATATTTTACTTCTTAATATTTAGGATATGTGTTAAAAATAGTTTTTTACACATTTGAAATCATCAATCAATCAATCATTGTTAGACCACCATTAGAAACCTAGAAGCACCGGACGGCCGTTTCGTCGTGGTATGGGACTCATAAGCAGTGCGCATTCACGACTCCTTCACCTCGCAGGATTCGAACCAATGACGTTCGGTATTGTGCAAGAACGCCTAACCATCGGACCACGGGGACGGCATCCAAAGGTGGAAATGTCTAACTCTGATTGATCTAGGGATTTTGCGTGACCTCACCCATTTGTCTTCGGTAGTTACCTCCAAAGCTCTGCCTGAAAGTTTTTTAACAGTCGTTATTCTTCAAACATCTTAGTCAACTAGCTTTTTGGACTGATTTTTGCATTTCTCACCAATGTTTCATTGCATAAAATACTTGATGCCCGAATACTGATGCAATTCTATGTTGTTTCTCGAAACTGCACATGAAGAACAAAATTCATGCAGCAACTGTGAGAATTCCATTCGAATTTAATATCAATGATATTAAAGATAGATTATAACCACTCAACCTGGAGCTCCTCTGACGCTACTGCCGGTCCCAAACTCGGAGAAAAATAGGAGGGTTGAGCATGGGGTTAGCGACCTCATCCCTTGAAAAAAACTAACTCGCTAAAATCCAAACGTATATACATTTATTCTGACTGATTATTATATTAGCAACAGATTATAAAAACACCACCTGAGCCCCATGGGGCTACTGCCGATCCCTAGATCGGAGAAAAAGGGTGAGTCGGGCTTGAGGTTAGCGGCCTCATCCCCTGAAAAAACTGACTCGCTAAAATTTATTATTACAGATTTAAAAAAAAGTAAACTTACAATCGTAACTAAATAGTCTGCAGCAGCTAAAGCATCAATCCAATCATTACTTTGACAACCTGGTTCAATAGGAGCATAAGCTACGTACATTTGAATTAAACGTTCAGTAATTTTGTCCGGAGTTGTAAATGTTGGATAAGTTAAACGAATAACATCAGGAAATAAATAATCTGGATGACTAGCTAAAAGAAAATGAACAAAATTTTTTTTGGGACGGATGAAATTCAATGTTCTAATTTAAACAATGCAACTTTGAGTAAAGATTAGTTAGAATGTGGTTAACAGTGTAATTCAAGGACATGCATTTCATTCTGCGTTGGACTTGTCGACTGTTAGCCAAATTTCATGTTCACTACGAGATTCGAACCCGTGAATATATATCGAGTCAATCTGCCCAAAATCAAAGGTTATATTTGCTGACAAATGTCAACTAGGATGAAACCTAGTTGAGGAGTTACTTGCCAACCAACTTCAGCCACCTAGCATCTCACAAAATTTATTGCATTGCTAAATAAAAGTGGATAACGTTTAAAATTTTCCATAGAATCTTCTATTCGTAATGATCTCATTTGTTTCAATGCCGAAATTGCGTTTTCAGTGTGTTATTATCATTACTACAGGGGTTTTATGAAAATCTTTGAATTTTCATAGATTACATCAAGTATTGATTTTAGTTCAAAAAACAGGAGTCACCATCTATTTATCTCATTCTAGTGTAGGATTTTTCAGCAGTGAACCAATTTATCTATCACAAACAATGAAAAAAAGGTCATTCATTGTTGTGAACTAATTGAAATTAGACACGAATACCATCGGATATCTCCGAATAAGTTTTATTTCAAATTTATTTTACTAAAAAAAATGCGATTTCTGTCCATATATTGATAATCAGCAAAATCACCCTTCTTCAAGATCCCAGCTGCAGATCAGACAAGAATGTGCGTTGTACTTGTAATATTAGGCTTATATAATTAGTATAACGGGGTTGTGAAGATTGTTAAGTTACACATTTTTGAAACCATGAATCGATCAATGTTAGACCAACATTAGAAACCTGAAAGCACTGAAAGACGGCCGTTTCGTCCTGGTATGGGACTCCTCAGCAGTGCGCATCCACGACTCCTGCACCCCGCAGGATTCGAACCCAGGACCTTCGGTATTATAGTTAAGAAACATCGCGAATAATCCCATTAGATAAAACTGTATAGTCTTAAGAAACTTTACTGAGAAATTAATGGATGGAGAAACCTTGGCTCAAAGGTGGATTCCACTCTTGATGTATGGTTGATCTTTTTATTCCTGTCACTACATCTCCCCTTAATTTGGATATGATATTCTTTAACTTCGTCACTCGACAAAATGACATCATTTGGAGTGAGAAAACGAAATGTTGAATAGAAAGCTGTAGGTGAAGGGGAATTAAAATTTCCTGCGAAAAAAACTGAGTTTCGCTTTTTTTCGAATCTGGTTGCTTCCCGTTTATTTGAATGCTGCAAGCAATAAAAGGTTACATTAACCGAGCTATCTGTTGTTTAGATTTATGTAAACCTTCATTAAATTTATTTGCTATTTGTTTGCTTACTGATAAATTATTAAGTAGCAAAATACAAAATGCCTAATAATATTAAGAAGTGAAATATGCCTATATTGTAATGGTTGACAACGATTAGCAGACATTATCAGACATCTGGATCCACGTGGAAAGGTCTAATACCTGGATTTCATCATTTCATGTGACTAACTTACGGATATAGACACTATCAGCAACAATCTACAGTGAGAAAGAAAATATCAGATTCCAGGGAAGGAGGAAATCAAGAGGAAGCGCTGGATTTGGATAGGACACACATTTAGGAAAAGACTTGAATGTGTCACAAAACAAGACCTCAATTGGAACCCTCAAAGCCAAAAGAAAAGAGGAAAGACAAAGAACACATTACGCTGAGAAATAGAGAAAGATATGAGAGGAATGAACAAACATTGGACAGAGCTGGAAAGGAAAGCCCAGGACAGAGTAGGTTCGAGAATACTGGTCGGTGGCCTTTGCTCCAACGGGGGCAACAGATGTCAGTAAGTAACTTATAGATATAACTTAAACTCGATCATTTCATAACTATGAACAAAATTATCTGTATTTTCATAATAGTATGCAAACAAATCAGTACTATCAGACCAGATAAAAGTCTAAATCAGATCATCAGGTAATTTCGAGTTTCAAATTCAGTATTAAATGTAGAGAAATACAAACATAATACATAAAGCTATTAAAAATTCATATAAAATCAAATAGTTAACAGACTAATTAATATTCGTTTGAAAGTCTCCGACATGCAAATAAGTTTGCATAGGTTTTTAAAAAAAAAATAGTAACTGAATAATTAACTCGGTAATCTAACATGAGTTAAACATATATATAACACATAGTGTTGAATTAAGGAAGGCAAAGTAATCAGCAACACTGAACAACAGCGAAGTAGGTGGGTAGAGCACTTTAAGCAACTCTTGAATCGACCAGCTCCACTGAACACACCCAACATCGAAGCAGCATCCACGGATCTCCCAATTAATATTGGCACACCTACGATTGAGGAGATCAGTATGGCCATCAGACAAATCAAGAGCGGCAAAGCAGCAGGACCAGACAACATTCCAGCAGAGGCAATGAAAGCAGATGTAGAAGCAACTGCGAAAATATTTCACATCCTCTTCAAGAAGATTTGGGATGAGGAACAAGTACCATCAGATTGGAAAGAAGGATACCTGATCAAAATACCAAAGAAAGGCGACCTGAGCAAGTGTGAGAACTACAGAGGCATCACTCTTTTTTCAATACCAGGCAAAGTCTTCAACAGGATATTGTTAAACAGAATGAAGGACTTCGTAGACGCCCAACTTCGAGATCAACAGGCCGGATTTCGTAAGGATCGATCGCGTACTGACCAAATCGCTACATTACGGATCATTGTGGAACGATCAATTGAATTCAACTCACCACTCTACATCAACTTCATCGATTACGAGAAGGCATTCGATAGCGTGGATAGGAAAACACTGTGGAGGCTTCTTCGACACTACGGTTAACATCATACGGAATTCTTATGATGGATTCAACTGCAAAATCGTGCACGGAGGTCAGCTGACAGACTCTTTTGAGGTGAAGACCGGTGTCAGGCAAGGTTGCTTACTCTCACCCTTTCTCTTTCTCCTGGTGATCGACTGGATTATGAATACTTCGACGTCTGAAGGGAAGCACGGTATCAACTGGACAGTTAGGACGCAGCTGGACGATCTGAACTTCGCAGATGACCTGGCTCTTCTATCGCACACTCAACAACAAATGCAAGAGAAGACGACCAGTGTAGCAGCAGCCTCTGCAGCAGTAGGTCTCAACATACATAAAGGAAACAGCAAAATTCTCCGATGCAACACAACATGCACAAACCAAATCACTCTTGATGGAGATGCCTTGGAGGACGTTAACACCTTTACATATCTTGGCAGCATCATCGGCAATCAAGGTGGATCCGATGCAGATGTGAGGGCACGGATTGGCAAAGCAAGGGCTGCATTTCTACAGTTGAAAAATATCTGGAACTCCAAACAACTTTCAACCAAAACCAAAATCAGGATTCTCAATACAAATGTCAAGATAGTTCTACTGTATGGAGCGGAAACATGGAGAACTACCAAAGCCATCATCCAGAAGATACAAGTGTTTATTAACAGTTGTCTACACAAAATACTTCGGATTCGTTGGCCAGACACCATCAGCAACAACGAACTGTGGGAGAAAACAAACCAGATTGCAGTGGAGGAGGAAATCAGGAAGAAGCGGTGGAAGTGGATAGGACACACACTGTGAAAAGCACACAACTGCGTCACAAGACAAGACCTCACATGGAACCCTCAAGGCGAAAGGAAAAGAGCAAGGCCAAGGAACACATTACACCGAGAAATAGAGAAAGATATGAGAAGAATGAACAAAAATTGAACAGAGCTGGAAAGGGAAGCCCAGGACAGAGTAGGTTGGAGAAAACTGGTGAGCGGCCTATTCTCCATTGGGGGTGACAGGCGTAAG